GCTCGTTACCAGAGCGAATCCCACCACCAGTGTCTAAGGATACCCCTAAGGATTTTGGAGGGTCCCTGGCGAGATGCCACCCTGGGACATCACAGACCAGGGCTGGGCATGGGGTAGCCAGCCCTGGGAGTCCTGGGCATGGGGTATCCAGCCCTGGGAGTGCAGGGATGCCGGGGGGGAGGGTCTTTCGGGTGCCGGGCTGCAAGGGGGGACGCTTTGGGAGCACCCCCCACCCCAGCTGCTGGAGCCTCCATGAACCTCCTTCCCGGCTCTGCTCGTTTCCATAGCGACCCCACAAGTGAAATTTTCCATCCCGGATGCCAAATGCCTGTGGATGAGGCACAGCCCTCCCAGGGTTACCAAATATAGACACAAAAAAAAAACCCCACCCCAGAGCCACCGCTCCCGGCCACGCGGCGAGGACCAGCCATGGCCACGCAGGAGGTGGGGGGGGAAGGTGGAGATTTTGGGGTGCTGGGGGTTCAGCCCCGCGGCACTTACGAGGTCTGCATGAGCTCGGGGTTGGGGACACACTGGAGGCGGTGGGAGAGGAGCTGGAAGGCGCTGCTCTGGGGCAGCAGCATCAGGAGGCCGTAGAGAGCCTTGATCAGGTATGGGTTGTTCTTCACGTCCAGCAGCTGCAGGCGGAGGTCTGGAAGAGGAGAGGAAGAGGATGACGAGGTGGGTGAAATGCAGTCCACCCCCAGCCCCAGCAGTGGGTTCCTCCCAATCCGGCTGCTGGTCCTGGGGAGTCTCCAGCTGACCTGAGGGGCAACCACCAGCCTCTCCCCTCCCGTTAACTCATCCACCTTTGTGCCCACCACACAGCAGGAGCCCCTCTGCTCACCAGGGCCTGGCTGGGGAAGGGGACTGGCTCCCCAGTCTCCCACCCCTGCTGCTGCTCACACCTGAGCCCACCCGTGCTGTCTGCCCGAGGACACGTGTGCAGCACAAGACCGCTCCTCAGCTTCTGCAGACCTGGCAGGAACACCCACCCTTCAGGAGGGCCAGGGGACACCCTCCTGGTGAAAATCTGGAGCAGAAAGGATCCTCTCTGTTTGGCCCTGATGGTTGTGTTTGGCCTCAGCCTTGCTCAGCAGAGAGGAAACCACCTTCCTGCTCTGTCCATGGCAGTGCTCATGGGTAGGGGGGGTCTTCTGGAGCCCTACAGACAAGCAAGGCCCCACCTGGGTGGGATGGGGTGAGAGGTCCCTGCCCCAGCATCTCACCTCCTGGTTGCTACTAGCACCTCTGGTGTCTCCCAGCCAAGGGAGCCATGCCCAGGAACACTACTCTATGGAGGACAGGTCTGTCCCCTACTCTGAGGCTTGGAGGTCAAGGTGAGCAGAGTGGGGAACCCTCAAGGAATAATTTGGGGCTGTGGAAAACCACCATAGACACTCATAGGGTGGGAAAACACTCCCTGGGATCAGGCACAGGGTACCTGTGCCGAGGGCCAGCCCACGTCCCCATTGCCTGGCTGCTCTCACCCTTGTCCCAAAACATCCCCCAGCTCTGGACCTATAGAGGTCTTCCCAAAGCCCTTTCCCAACACCCTCAGTGGCATCAGCTTCATGGCGGAGCCCAGGGGCAGTCAAATGCCATCACAAGAAAACACGGGTCACCCTGGAATGTGCCCTCTCCTCATCCCAGCTCCTCCCCCCCTCCCCATTCCCGAGTCCCAGCTGCATTACCCAACAGGAGAAGGACCCAGAGTGGGGCTGGGGTAGATTTGGAAAGAGAAGCAGCTCTGGGCTTTTTAGGGCTTAATTCTTAATTTCCAGACAAAAATAAAGGTCACCTTTTTTCCAGCTAAGGGCCCCAGAAGTATCCACGGGTGGCACCCATGGCTCTCCTCACCCGACACCCCCCTCAGAGATGCTCAGAGTGGTCCAGACACTCCCCCCAACCCCTCCTCCACCCCTTTGTTCGGTGCCAGCTCCACTCGCTCCCTTAACCTATATCTGGGGGGCAAACTGCGCCCCCCCGCTGAGCTGCCAGCGCTCCCAGCTCCGGGCAAACCTCCCGGCAAGAAGTCTCATAACTTCTGCTCTATTTATTCGGGTGGCTGCCGCTGCTCCGGAGGGAGGAGCAGGGAGGGGGAGGTGGCCAGGGGGGGGGGGGCACCCCCCCCCGCCGTCCCTTCCCCACGCAGGGTTTTTCCTCCTTACACGTGAAGATGGGGCACTCGATGAGCTGCACCAGCTTGTCCACCTCAGTGAGGAAATCCACGGTGACCTCCAGGTCCCCGCTGGACGTGGCCGTTAAGGATGGTACCTCGGGTTAAAGGGGTGGCCTGGTGGCAGCAGATGGCTGGCCCCGGGGTGATGGCTCTGCCAAACCCTCCCAGCATCCATGGCTTGGCTGAGGGATGAGAGAAGGAGCCAGGATGAGTGGGCAGGGCTGGGGGAAAGGCAGCTTGCCCAAAATGCTGGCAGCTTGCCCGGCCAGGTAGCGGTCAGGAGGATGGTGCGAAGGAGGAGGTTTGGGTTTTCCGAGCTGGTCCCTGGTGGTGAGTGCTCCAGGAGAAATGCTGGAGCAGAACCTGAGCACAAAATGTATGGAGAGCTAGAGAGGGAGGCTTGGGGCTTGGCAGCACCAGGAATCGGGAATTGTACTGCTTGGGAGAGATCTTGCAGATCATCCAGTCCAACTGTTCCACCAGCACTGCCAGGTCCCCACTGACCCATGTCCCTCAGCACCACATCTCCACGGCTTGGAAACCCCTCCAGGGATGGGGCCTCCACCAACACCCTCAAGGGCAAGAAATTTTTCTTCATGTCCAACCTAAACCTCCCATGGGGCAACTTGAGGCCGTTTCCTCTTGTCCTGTTGCCTGTTCTTGGGGAAAACACACCCAACCCCACCTCACTCCAACCTCCTGTCAGGTAGCTGTGGAGAGCCAGAAGGTCTCCCCTGAGCCTCCTTTGCTCCAGGCTCAGCACCCCCAGCTCCCTCAGCTGCTCCTCACCACACTTGGGCTCTAGACCCTTCCCCAGCAGCTTTGTTGCCCTTCTCTGGCTACGCTCCAGCCCCTCAAGGTCCTTCTTGGAGTGAGAAGCCCAAAACTGACCCCAGGATTCAAGGTATGGCCTCCCCAGTGCCCAGTAGAGAGACAAACATAAATAAATGCAGGAAAACACTCCCTCTGCTGCAGGCAGGTGCCGAGCTCCCGAGGAACCATCTCACAGTGGGCACCGCCTGCTCCTCCTTGGGCCAGGAGGCCAAAGCCTTCATCTTCCTGGGAGGAAGAGGATGCTGAGGAGCCTCCCCTTGCGGGCAGGGGCAGGTCAGGGCTCAGCCAGCCCACGCTTCCCCCTCTCTACACCACAAAAAGCAGGGCTGACAGCAGGGGAAGGGAGCTGAGGGTCGCTAGCTTTGTCGCCACGGGGAGGCTGGGCTGGCCCACAGGGTGACCTTGGTGGCCTCAGAGGGACCCCCCCCGAAGGATACAATTTCTGGATGAGGTCGTAGGCGTGCTTGTAGTTCTGGGTGAGGAAGCAGAGGGACACAGTTGTCACGGGGTTGTGGCACCAGGAGCGGTAGAGGCAGCAGAAGAGATTACGGCTCTCCTGGGGAGAGAGGAAGCCATCGGGGCTGGGCCACCAGCAGGAGCAAGGACGTGGCACCATGGCCCTGACACTGACTCGCCGGGCTGGCGAGTGTCACCCGGACATGAAGGGACCCACCAAGTCCACCCTACACTGGCACGAGCCAATCTCAGAAGGTGGCAACCATGTGGGTTTTGAGGTGGCCCTCCAGGACTGCTGTGCCCACCACAGGATGAGAAGGTGGAGGACGGTGCTGTCCCACCCACGGGGACACCCATCACTGGCCTTCAGCTTAAGGAGGAGAAGTCTTCCTCCCTCTCCCTGCCTTGTTTGGATGTCTCCATTGCTGGGGGCAGCTGCTGGGCAAACCCAATGGGGGTGTTCCCAGCAGGGACAGCTGAGGGACCAGGGGGTTCTGCTCCTGTTGTCACCTGTCCCCTGGCCGTGTTGGGGTGGAGGTGACAGCTGCTCCATGGCCTGGTCAGCCCCTTCCCATCCCAGGGGAAAAAAGCATGAGTTGAGCATGTTCTCCGAGCCACCCTCAAGTCTTGAAGGGTGAGGGAACAAAGGGGCCACCTTGGGCACCCGAGCTCCAGCCCTGGGACCTGCCAGATGGAGGCTGAGCAGCAAGACACGTCTCCACGTGGCTGCCAGGTCCCCACCATCCCCATTCCATCCACCCCAGGGGGCAGCTGAGCCCGCTTCCTCTGCCCATACCGGGGTCTTCAGGTCCTTCAGCTGGTTCCTGAGCTGGAAGAGCTCGGAGGAGGTCAGCAGGATGGTGTTGAGGGTGTGGACCATGGTGGAGGCAAATTTGAGGTCCTCTTCCCGAAGCAGGATGTCTGCCATGGAGTGGAAGATGTTCTCTGCGTTCAGAAGTAGACAGAGCTGCCTGCGTGTCACAGAGGAGAGAGATCGGGGGGGACGGTTAATGGTGGCCTATTTAGACCAGTATCTACTTGAGACCAGTAGGCAGCCAACGTGGCCACTGGGCTGAGGCAACCCCTCCCAGTGCTGTGTGAGCCAGGAGCACTGGAGCCAGAAGTTGCCCTTCCCTCAACCCCCTGTTCTTCCAGTTCTGCTTCAGAACGTCCTGTTTCACAAACCTCAGGGCATTCTCAAGGTTTTCAACCAAAACCCAAACATCAGATTTCATTTTTTTCCTCTCTTCTGTATTTGTTTGGATTTGGGGATTTCCTGTTTTTCTCCAGGCTCCTGCCTTCTTGGGCGGTTGGTCTGAGGACACCTGAAACGTTGCCCAATGCTGGCTCAGCTCGCTGGTGGGAGACCTGGGGGACCCCACCCAGCTTCCCCACCTTCTGAAACTGGGGTGCTCCCCAGATCCCCACATCTCCCTCTCAGGCCCAGGGGCAGATGCTGGCATCCTCCAGAGCTCCCCTACCTCCTACCAAGCATCTTTCCCCACTGGCAACTGAATCCCATTCTGGAGACATCTAAGAAGGGTTTAAGAGGCCGAACAAGGAGCACCTGCTCTGGCAGCTGGGTGGGAGACACATGCTGCCTGCTGGGTTGGGTTCAGGTGGGTGGCACACCTGAACTTGTCCCCCAGGGCTATGTTTTCACCTCCTGGGGCAAGGAAGAGAAAGAAGACGAGTTTCTAGCCTTCACCTCCATGGGGAAGGGCCGGTGGAAGACTACATGGCTACAGGAAGACACCAAAGTCTGGTGTTTTAGGGACAGGGAATGAAGAAACGGCTTTTCCTTCCCAACACATGGAGGAAGAACCCCCCTCATGTTCCTCCCAGTCCCCCCAAGCGTCCTCCTGGCCCGGCCCTGGCAGCTCCCACATCCCGCCTGGCCACCGGCGGACAATGGGATGCTCTGTGAGGGCTTTTACATAACCCACGCCTGGGAAAATGGGGCCGAGCCACTCTAAATGAGCTCATTTATCCCAATTTTCACCCAATTTGCACCCGCAGTGCTGAGGACACCTCCCCGGTTCCTCACCCCAGAGGAGAGGTTCCTCTCTGGAGCAGGGGAGAGTAGTGGGGAAGTGAAGTGTTGAAGGAGGGATGGGGAAGCCAAGGGATTTTAGTCCAGCTTGCCTGAGCCAAAAGCAAACTCAACAGCTCAGCACCGCCAGCAGGATCCAGCCCTGGCAAAGCCCAAGGATCCAAGCCCAGCCTGGCAGTGAGCTGGCTCCATCCCACCCTTCCTGGGAAGAGGGGATAACTGGATGGCTCCTCCTTGCCCAGCCTCCTCCAGCAGCTGTGCTGGGCACATCAGAGTGTGGAGCAGGAGGATTTACCTCGCCCAAGGAGGGGATGAGTCCCCCAGGGACAAGCACTGGGATAGCTGATAGGATGAGGAAATGGCCTCAAGTTGCACCAGGGGAGGTTCAGGTTGGACATGAGTAACAATTTCTTGCCCTTGAGGGTTGCCCAGGTCTGCACCAGGCTGCTCAGGGCAGTGGTGGAGTCCCCATCCCTGGAGGGGGTTCCAAGATGTGGAGATGTGGTGCTGAGGAACACAGGTTAGTGGGGACCTGGAAGTGCTGGGACAACGGTTGGACTCCATGATCCTAAAGTTCTCTTCCAACCCAAACTATTCCACGATTCTATGACAGTTTTCCCCCCTGCTGTGAAGTGCCCAGCAAGCTGGCACAGCCAGGGCCTGGCTCTTCTGCTCATCATGGGTGGAGAGCTGCAATTTTCCACCTTCCAGGCAGAGAAGAGCTCAGACTAGCCATGTCACCCCCCTGGGGACGCTGCTCCACTTGGGGACCACCCCATCCAGCTCCCCTAGGCTGAGGAACCACCAGCAGAACGAGTTGTGCCAGGGCTCAGCAGCCGGTCCTGACCCATCCGCGGTCCCCCCCAACTCTCCCTCCGGAGCCCACCAGCAGTCCCCCG